GAAGATGATCAGTTTGCTTCCGAGAAGGTGTGGACGCTCCTGTTGCCGCGGATCAGGAAGCGTTCATAATCTTGGGGTCCTCTGCATTTATAGGTCAAAGTCAATCTTTCTTCTTTAATGAACATGCTGTCCTGTTCTTGAGGGTTCAAGACATCCACATTCCAGGCCATATGACTTATGAAGTACCTCCTGCACACTCCTTACACGCTTGCTGCACATCTCATTGTCCATTGTTATTCGGCTATGCCTTACTGCTTCCTCGCTTCGTCTGCCAAGTCCGACCCATATCATGCATTGCGCGAACTCCATGTTGATTTTCCAGGCCTGTGTCTTCTGTTCTATTGTTCCTTCTGCAGGTCCTGAACCGGTGCTTGGCTGCTGTGTCGGCCTGGATGAGGGCAAACAGACTGAAACTTAATCCAGACAAGACAGAGGTACTCCTGGTCAGTTGAAAGGCCGAACAGGGGATAGGGTTACACTCCTCCTGAAGACACAGGTTCGCAGTTTGGGAGTGATCCTGGACTCATCGCTGAGCTGGAACCCCAGGTCTCGGCGGTGGCCAGGAGAGCTTTTGCGCCAGCTGCGCCCGTTCCTTGGGAAGTCTGACTTGGCCACCGTGCTCCATGCTCTGGTTACATCTCAAAGAGACTACTGCAATGCTCTCTATGTGGGGCTGCCTTTATTTATCTATTTATTTATTTAGCAGTTTTGTATACCGGTCTTCTCACCTCCGTTCGAGGGACTCAGGCCGGTTTCCAACATCAATATTACAGTCAGTCATTAAAACATCATATTCTAAATCACACTAAAACATTAAAATAGCAAAATACAATCATATGATTACAGTGGTCAGTCGTCATCAAAAATCATTATTCGTCGTCATCCATCCATATCACAGGATCATGGCTCATTCGTCGAAAGCCAATCCCCAAAGCCAAGTTTTCACATGTTTCCTGAATGTTAATATAGAAGGGGCAGTTCTGATCTCCAGTGGAAGGGAGTTCGAGAGTCAAGGGGCCACCACCGAGAAGGCCCTGTCTCTTGTCCCCACCAGCCGTGGATCGAGAGCAGGTCCCCACCATAGAATCATAGAATCAAAGAGTTGGAAGAGACCTCATGGGCCATCCAGTCCAACCCCCTGCCAAGAAGCAGGAATATTGCATTCAAATCACCCCTGACAGATGGCCATCCAGCCTCTATTTAAAAGCTTCCAAAGAAGGAGCCTCCACCACACTCTGGGGCAGAGAGTTCCACTGCTGAACGGCTCTCACAGTCAGGAAGTTCTTCCTCATGTTCAGATGGAATCTCCTCTCTTGTAGTTTGAAGCCATTGTTCTGCGTCCTAGTCTCCAGGGAAGCAGAAAACAAGCTTGCTCCCTCCTCCCTGTGGCTTCCTCTCACATCTTTATACATGGCTATCAAATCTCCTCTCAGCCTTCTCTTCTTCAGGCTAAACATGCCCAGCTCCTTAAGCCGCTCCTCATAGGGCTTGTTCTCCAGACCCTTGATCATTTTAGTCGCCCTCCTGGGATCGAGAGCAGGGCCCCTCCAGACGATCTTAGCAATCTTGATGGTTCATAGGGGAGGATACGTTCGGACAGGTAAATTGGGCCGGAGTCGTTTAGGGCTTTATAGGTTAAGACCAGCACTTTGAATTGTGCTCGGAAGCTGACTGGCAGCCAGTGGAGCTGGCGCAACAGAGGAGTAGTATGCTCCCTGTACCCCACTCCCGTAAGTAGTCTGGCTAGCTCCACTGGCTGCCAATTAGCTTCCAGGCACAATTCAAAGTGCTGGTTTAAACCTTGAAAGTCCTGAACGGTTCTGGCCCAGATTACCTGTACGAACGTATCTCCTGCTATGAACCATCACGAAGCTGAGTAGTTCTCCCTTTTCCTGATCCCCTGTCAGCATTGCCCCATATTCTCCTCACAGAGGCCCTATTGTAGGGGGCCTCAAACGAATGCCCGGGGACTGCATACTCATTTACTCGGCTCTCGCTCAGGGTCAACCTAAGTCTGAAATGACTTGAAAGCACACAGCAACAACAACAATCCTATCTCGTCAGCCAAAAGCAGGCCCATACTTTCCATTGAAATACTAATAAGTTTATATTTGTTAAAATTGTTCTTCATTTTAATTATTGTATTAAGTGGGGTTTTTTTTTGCACTACAAAGAAGATATGTGCAGTGTGCATAGGAATTCATTCATGATGTTTCCAAATTATAATATGGCCCTCCAACAGTTTGAGGGACTGGGACCCCTGCCCTGTCGCCTCCTTGTTCTTCCTTTGGGTTGTTGGGAATGTCCCTGGCATTCAAATGATCTCCAAAGGATTTTTTTTTTCCAAAAGGTTATGAATATCATTTTCCAAAAGGAAGGTGACAGGCTGGGAGGGGAACGTTTCTTTTGGACACAGGGGCAGCCCGTCCATTAGGCGAAGTAAGCAGTCGCAGAACACTTTTTTTGCCAGGGGCGCAGAGGCACCTCTGTAAATGCCCCTCGACCGCCACTTGAGGAACGCCCCCTCAGCTCACAACAGCCCTAGCAGTCCGGGGGGAGCCTCGGCTTTCTTGCCTCGCTGCCGGGCGATCCTCTTCCCAAAGGGGCCGGGCCCTTGAGCCTCGCCTAGCCCCTCTCGTTCCTGCTCCACCCGGCCACCGGGTGCGCGAGCAGAGCTGGCGCTCAATTGTTCTTCGCGTTCGATCCCTTCCCCATGACTGTCTCCCTTTCCCAATCCCCCAGCGCTCCACCCGCCTCCTCTCCTCTCCCCAATCCGGGTGGGCCAAGGGGTGGAGCCACCGGGTACCTCAATTCATGGGTGATACCAGATGAGAGACTCCCCCCTGGGCACTCAGAAGACTGAGCGACTTGGAAGGCGCTGAACAGACTGCGCTCTGGCACCACGAGATGCAGAGCCAACCTTCAGAAATGGGGCCACAAAGTGGAATCCACGGCATGCGGGTGCGGAGAAGAGCAAACCACTGACCACCTGCTGCAATGCGCCCTGAGCCCTGCCACATGCACCATGGAGGACCTTCTTGCAGCAACACCAGAGGCACTCCAAGGGTCCAGAGACTGGTCAAAGGACATTTAACCAACTATCAAGCTTGCAATATCTGTGGGGTTTTTTAAAAAATCTGTGTGTTTGTTTTGTTCTGTTAGAAATGTAATACAATGGTCTGGTTGCTGATTACACGATAAATAAATACTACACTTGCCGCACTTGCTCCCTTGCCTGGCCCGCTTTGGGTCCGGAGGCGTGTCTGAAGACCCCAGCGTGCGCACCAAAAGTCACCTCTTCTCCTGACTTTCTCTTCAGCCATTGGGACCAAGAGAGAGAGAGAGAGAGAGCCCCTCCGGCTGGAGGTATCTCCCACCTCCGCTCCCTCCTTTGTTTTTGCACCTACCTTCAGGAAAGGTGGGCATCTCCACCTCTCTCTCTCTCTCTCTCTCGGTCCCAATGGCTGAGGAGAAAGTCAGGAGAAGAGGTGACTTTTGGTGCACACGCCGGGGTCTTCAGGCACGCCTCCGGACCCAAAGCGGGCCAGGCAAGGGAGCAAGTGCGGCAAGTGTAGTATTTATTTATCGTGTAATCAGCAACCAGACCATTGTATTACATTTCTAACAGAACAAAACAAACACAGAGATTTTTAAAAAACCCCCACAGATTTTGCAAACTTGGTAGTTGTTAAATGTCCTTTGACCAGTATCTGGCCACTTGGAGTGCCTCTGGTGTTGCCGCAAGAAGGTCCTCCATGGTGCATGTGGCAGGGCTCAGGGTGCATTGCAGCAGGGGGTCAGTGGTTTGTTCTTCTCCACACTCGCATGCCGTGGATTCCACCCTATAGCCCCATTTCTTAAGATTGGCTCTGCATCTCGTGGTGCCAGAGCGCAGTCTGTTCAGCGCCTTCCAAGTCGCCCAGTCTTCTGTGTGCCCAGGAGGGAGTCTCTCATCTGGTATCACCCATGGATTGAGGTGCTGGGTTTGGGCCTGCCACTTTTGGACTCTTGCTTGCTGAGGTGTTCCAGCGAGTGTCTCTGTAGATCTAAGAAAACTATGTCTTGATTTAAGTCGTTGACGTGCTGGCTGATACCCAAACAGGGATGAGCTGGAGATGTCTCTGCCTTGGTCCTTCACTATTGGCTGCTACTTCCCGGCGGATGTCAGGTGGTGCAATACCGGCTAAGCAGTGTAATTTCTCCAGTGGTGTAGGGCGCAGACACCCCGTGATAATGCGGCATGTCTCATTAAGAGCCACATCCACTGTTTTAGTGTGGTGAGATGTGTTCCACACTGGGCATGCATACTCAGCAGCAGAGTAACATAGCGCAAGGGCAGATGTCTTCACTGTGTCTGGTTGTGATCCCCAGGTTGTGCCAGTCAGCTTTCGTATGATATTGTTTCTAGCACCCACTTTTTGCTTGATATTCAGGCAGTGCTTCTTGTAGGTCAGAGCATGGTCCAGGGTGACTCCCAGATATTTGGGTGCGCTGCAATGCTCCAGTGGGATTCCTTCCCAGGTGATCCTCAGAGCTCGGGATGCTTGTCTGTTCTTAAGGTGAAAGGCACATGTCTGTGTTTTAGATGGATTAGGGATCAGCTGGTTTTCCCTGTAATAGGCAGTAAGAGCACCTAGAGCTTCGGAGAGTTTCTTTTCAACCATCTCAAGTGTAGTTACTGGGATGTATAGTTCACCTACAATCAAAGAGCATTCTGAACTCCACCAATGATGGAATGGAACCAAATATGGCACACAGAACTCCCACGACGAACAGAAAATATATATCAATGATTGGTTGGGGGGGGGGCGCCAAAATACCGTTTGCTTACCGTTGAAAATTACCTAGGGCCGCCTCTGTTTGGACCCCAATCTCCTCCCAAAAAATCGGGGGGGCCAAAGGGGCTGATGTTGCAGCCAGACGCCGGCGTCCCCCGAGAGGCAGGCGGGGCCAAGGCCAAACCGGGCCAACTCCTCCCCCTGGGCGTGGCTTCGCTCCTCTTCTTCCTCCTCCGCCTGCTTCTTCCCCTCCGGGCGCGTCGGCTTGGAGAGCCGCTGGGGGGCCCTTCTTCGCCGGCTCGGAACGGGGTCTTCCCGGGGTGGAGCCCGCCCCTCCTCGGGCCCCATGGCAAGGCAGGGCTTCCCCTGGAGCTGGCCCGGCTCGGCTTTGGCGTTCCCCTTCCAAAAGGGCTCCTCCTTCCGGGAAGGGCTTTCCTAGGGGATGCGCTTGGGAGGGCGCGTTGGAGGCCTGACTGGGCTCGCTCGCTCCCCGCCATGGGCGACCCGCGGGCCCCGCTGCCCTTCCTCTCCCGGCTGGGCTTCGCCGTGGGACACTTCCTCAACGACCTCTGCGCCTCCATGTGGTTCACCTACCTGCTGGTCTACTTCCACGCCGTGCTGGGGCTCAGCACCGGACACGCGGGCCTCCTCCTCCTCGCCGGGCAACTGGCCGACGGAGTCTGCACCCCGCTCGTGGGCTACGAGGCCGACCACTGCGGGAGGAGGAAGGCCTGGCACCTCGCCGGTGAGTCTCCCCCTCCAAGGAAGGCGCCTTGGGCTTCCGGCCGAGGGACGGCGAGGACCAGGGCTTCCCAAAATCCCCAGCCCCAAAGGCAGGGCTTCCGGAATGCAAATACCAAGGTGCCCAGTGCCAGGTGCCTCCTTTGCCCCAAGACTTCCCCAGTCTTCCTTGGCCCAAATGCCCAGCCTTCCCAAACACCCAGTGCCAAGGCTTCCCAGTCCCAATGCCAGGGACTCGCTGGATGCAAATATGCCCAATGCCAGGTGCCTCCTTTGCCCCAAGGCTAAGACTTCCCACATGTCAAGCGCCCGCTCTTCCTTGGCCCAAATGCCAAGGCTTCCCAAACACCAAGTGCCAAGGCTTCCCAGTCCCAATGCCAGGACTTGCCAAACGCCAAGGCCAAATCACCAGATGCTAGGACTTTCCCTGCCCCAAATGCCAAGTTCCCCAGTGCCAAATGCTTCCTTTGCCCCAGTTCTAAGACGTCCCAAGTGTCAAGTACTAAGACCTCCTAGTACCAAAGACAGGACTTACTGAATGCAAATATGAAGTTGCCAATGCCAGGTGCCTCCTTTACCCCAACGCTAAGACTTCCCAAATGTCAAGCGCCCAGTCTTCCTTGGCCAAAATGCCCAGCCTTCCCAAACGCCAAGGGCCAAGGCTTCCCAGTCCCAATGCCAGGACTTGCCAAATGCCAAGGCCAAATCACCAGATGCCAGGACTTCCCCTGCCCCAAATGCCAAGTTCCCCAGTGCCAAATGCTTCCTTTGCCCCAATGCTAAGACTTCCCAAGTGTCAAGTACTAAGACTTCCTAGTACCAAAGACAGGACTTACTGAATGCATATACGAAGTTGCCCAATGCCAGGTGCCTCCTTTGTCCCAAGGCGAAGACTTCCCCAATGCCAAGTGCCCAGTCTTCCTTGGTCCAAATGCCTAGTCTTCTCAAATGCCCAGTACCAAGGCTTCCCAGTCCCAATGCCAGGACTCACTGAATGCAAAAACCAAGGCTTCCTTGTCTCATATACCAAGTTGCCCAATGCCAGGGGCCTCTTTTGCCCCAAGGCTGAGACTTCCCAAGTACCCAGTCTTCTTTGGCCCAAATGCCCATCCTTCCCAAACGGCCAGTGCCAAGACTTCCCAGTCCCAGGACTTGCCGAATGCCAAGGCCAAATTGCCAGGTGCCAAGACTTCTTTTGCCCTAAATGCCAACTTCCCTGATGCAAAATGTTCCCTTTGCCCCAGTGTTAAGACTGCCCAAATGCCAAGTGCTAAGACTTCCTAGTACCAAAACCAAGACTTACTAAATGCATTTTTTTGTTGTGTCAGGAGCGACTTGAGGAACTGCAAGTCGTTTCTGGTGTGAGAGAATTGGCTGTCTGCAAGGACGTTGCCCAGGGGATGCCAGGATATTTTGATCTTTTACCATCCTTGTGGGAGGCTTCTCTCATGTCCCCGCATGAGGAGCTGGAGCTGACAGAGGGAGCGAAATTCAAATGAAAATAGGAAGGCTTCCAGTGCCCCAAATGCCAAGTTGCCCAATGCCAGGTGCCTCCTTTGCCCCAAGGCTAAGATTTCCCAAATGTCAAGCGCCCAGTCTTTCTTGGTCCAAATACCCAGCCTTCCCAAACAGCAAGGGCCAAGGCTTCCCAGTCCCAATGCCAGGACTTGCCTAATGCCAAGGCCCAATCACCAGGTACCAAGACTTCTTCCCCAAATGCCAAGTCCCTCAATGCTAAATGCTCCCTTTGCTCCCAAATGCCAAGTGCTAAGACTTCCTAGTACCAAAGCCAGGACTCGCTGTATGTAAATATGAAGGCTTCCTTGTCTCCAACACCAAACCTTCCTCTGCCCCAAATACCAAGTTCCCAATGCCAAATGCCTCCTTTGCCCCAAGGCCAAGACTTCCCAAGTGCTCGGTTTTCATTGGATCAAATGACGAGCCTTCCCAAATGCTAAGTGCCAAGACTTCCAGTCCCAGTGCCAGGACTTGTCGAATGCCAAGGCCAAATCACCACATGCCAAGCCTTCCTCTGCCCAAATGCCAAGCTACCCAGTGCCAAAGGCCTCCTTTGCCCCAATGACAAGGCTCAGTGCCCCAATGCCCAGTCCTACCAAATGCCCAGAACTAAGGTTTCCCAGTGCCAGGATTGTCTCAGATGCCATGTTGACCAATGCCAAAGGCTTCCTTTGCCCCAATGCTAAGACTCCCCAAATGCCAAGTGCCCAGTCGTCCTTTTCCCCAATGCCCAGCCCTTTCAAATGCTGAATGCTAAGACTTTCTATTCCAGTGCCAGGACTTGAGGAATGCAAATATGAAGGCTTCCTTGTCTTGCATGCCAAGTCGCCAAATGCCAAAGGCCTCCTTTGCTCCAGTGCTCAGACTTCCCAAATGCCAAGTTTTAAGGCTTCCTAGTACCAAAGTCAGGACTCACTGAATGCAAATATGGAGGCTTCCTTGTCTCACATGCCAAGTTGCCCAATACCAGTCCCAATGCCAGGATTTGCGGAATGCAAAGGCCAAGTCGCCAAATGCCAAGCCTTCCCCTGCCGCATTTGCGAATGCCAAATGCCTTAGCACTTGGCATTTGGAAGGGCTGAGCATTGGGGCAAAGGAAAACTGGGCACTTGGCATTTGGGAAGTCATGGCATTGGGGGCAAAGGAGGCATTTGGCATTGGGCAACTTGGCATTTGGTACATCTTGGGAGAACTCGCTGAATGCAAATACGAAGGCTTCCTTGTCTCATATGCCAAGTTGCCCAATGCCAGGTGCCTCCTTTGCGCCAAGGCTGACTTCCCAAATGCCAAGCACCCAGTCTTCCTTGGCCCAAATGCCAAGCTTTCCTAAATGCCAAGTGCCAAGGCTTTACAGTCCCAAAACCAGGACTTGCGAAATCCAAAGTCCAAGTCGCCAGATGCCAAAACTACTTCTGTCCCAAATGCCTCCTTTGCCCCAAGGCTAAGACTTCCCAACCAAAGGCCAAGACTTCCCAAATGCCAAGCGCCCAGTCTTTCTCGGCCCAAATGGCAAGCCTTTTTTATTTACTTAACCTTTCTCACCCCAGTGGGGGACTCAAAGCTGTTTCCAGCATAATTATGGCCAAATGTAATACCTCACATACAGAAACCTAACATAAGATTATAACATACAGTTATCAATTAAATCATAAAACACGACATCATTTAACATTAAAACATGGAATTAAAAACATATCAATATAAAGATTAAAATCACATAATCCAACAATCATAATCCGGGCCATTCCAAATATCTACTGCACATAATCCCTGATCATTCCTTGTACTGTTTACTGCCCAAACGCTTGGTTCCTATCCAATTTTTTACTTTTCTTCTGGCTGGGATTGTGTGGAATTATAGGCCAAAACACCTGGGGACCCACAGGTTGAGAACCACTGCCTTAGTGAGTCCTGTCATTTGGGCTAGAGACTCCACTGGACTGGCCATGTTGTCCGGATGCCTGACCACCGTCTCCCAAAGCAGTTGCTCTACTCTGAACTCAAGAACGGAAAACTGAGTAAGCTGGACTAGGGAGTCTTAGTAGTACTTAGCATTTGGGAAGGCTTGGCATTTGGCATCTTGGCCTTTGCATTTGGTAAGTCCTGGCGCTGGCGCTAGAAAGTCTTAGTAGCACTGGGCATTTGGGAGGGCTTGGGATTTGGTAGGGAAGTCTTAGCACTGGGGCAAAGGAGGCGTTTGGCAGCTTGGCAAGAGGAAGGCTTGGCATGTGGTGATTTGGCCTTGGCATTCGGCAAGTCCTGGCATTGGGACTGGGGAGTCGTGGCACTTCGCATTTGGGAAGGCTCGTCATTTGGGCCAATAAAGACTGGGCACTTGGGAAGTCTTTGCCTTGGGGCAAAGGAGGCATTTGGCATCGGGAACTTGGCATTTGGGGCAGAGGAAGGTTTGGTGTTGGAGACAAGGGAGCATTTGTATTTGCATACAGCAAGTCCTGGCTTTGGTACTAGGAAGTCTTAGCACTCGGCATTTGGGAAGTCTTAGCACTGGGGCAAAGGAAGCATTTGGCATTGGGGAACTTGGCATTTGGGGCAGGAGAAGTCCTGGCGTCTGGCAATTTGGCCTTGGCATTCTGCAAGTCCTGGCATTGGGACTGGGAAGCCTTGGCATTTGGCATATTGGAAGGCTGGGCATTTGGGCCAAGTAAGACTGGGTGCTTGGCATTAGGGAAATTTAGCCTTGGGGCAAAGGAGGCACCTGGTATTGGGCAACTTGGCATGTAAGACAAGGAAGCCTTGGTGTTTGCGTTCAGCGAGTCCTGGCATTGGGACTAGGAAGCCTTAGTATTTGCATTCAGTTAGTCCTATCTTTGGTACTAGAAAGTCTTAGCACTTGTCATTTGGGAAGTCTTAAACACTGGGGCAAAGGAAGCATTTGGCATTGGGGAAATTGTCACTTGGGGCAGAAGAAGTCCTCGCATCTGGCAATTTGGCCTTGGCATTCAGCAAGTCCTGGCATTGGGACTGGGAAGGCTGGGCATTTGGGCCAAGGAAGATTGGGCGTTTGGCATTGGGGAAGTCTTGACCTTTGGTTGGGAAGTCTCAGCCTTGGGGCAAAGGAGGCACCTGGCACTGGGAAACTTGGCATGTGAGAGACAAGGAAAGCTTTCTATTTGCATTAAGTAAGTCCTGGCTTTGATACTAGAAAGTCTTAGCATTTGGCATTTGGGAAGTCTTAACACTGGGACAAAGGAAGCATTTGGCATTGGGAAACTTGGCATTTGGGGCAGGAGAAGTCCTGGCATCTGGCGATTTGACCTTGGTGTTCTGCAAGTCCTGGCCTTGTGACTGGGAAGCCTTGGCACTTGGCGGTTGGGAAGCCTTGGCATTTGGGCCAAGGAAAACTGGGTGCTTGGCACTTGGGAAGGCTTAGCATTTAGTTGGGAAGTCTTGGCACTGAGGCAAAGGAAGCATTTGGCATTGGGCGGCTTGGCATGGATACAAGAAAGCCTTCGTATTTACATTGAG